AGAGAGAGAGAGAGAGAGAGAGAGAGAGAGAGAGAGAGAGACTGAGAGAGAGCAGGGATGGTCTATAGTTTCAAATACAAACAGACGACAGAGAGAAAATCCAAGCTGTTTACATAAACAAAACAGAGGGCTCTCGTCGTGGCCTAGAGGTTAAGGTATTCGCCTCTCATTCAAAAGTCCCGGGTTCGAATCCGGGTAGCAACGTAAAAAAATATCTATCACCTCCTTTCCTGCTGTCTTGCAATGTTCTGTCGTCTTCTTTCGTCTGCACTTTCTGCCCCCATTCCATCACCTCCTTTGCGCCCTCTGGGCTCATGACTCTTTTTGCAGCCTTTCTACTGTTACTCTTTGGCGCCTTCTTACTGTTGTCTATCAGCCAGACCCCTCATCTTATTGTAGGTAAGATCTACACCTAGCCTTCTTGGACAAGGGCGAAAAATCTCGGATGTCCCGTGTGCAAGTTACGCACTTTAAAGATCATTTGGCGGTCTAAAATCGATTAGGTTAGACTTCGGCCGTCGACCACCACCCGGGCAACATTAAAAATTTCCTACCAACTGAAAATATTTAAACTGTCCGGCGAGCTCACATGAACTTATGCAGTAGCGAGCGCCGTAAAACACTTACCAGAAAAGTGTTGTTTTTCTTTTTTTTAAATCGCACTTTGGATTGTCCAAAGTCTCTAAAACACGGACTGATATTGTACTCACATCCTCAGTCTTAGTCCGTTCTGTGTCCGTGACATCCTGGTCTTTGGTGACGTCAGCTGTTGTCGGGATCTGTATCGGTTGTCGGGCTGAAAAACAACATAGAAATCGATTTTATATATTGTTTCATTTACGTTCTGCACTTTAAATAGTCGAATACCTTGGACATTGTTTTGGTGTCAACGGAGTCAACGAACCTACGCTACGTCTCATCTATAGACAGTGTTTGGGTCTAAAAAGGAAATGCGTTTCTTGTCAGTGAGTTTGAAGTTTTAATATTAATTTTTTTTTAAAGAAATGATTACAAGGAGGGCAGGGAGAAGATGGGCACTGTTGTCAGAAGATGACGTATCCTATAAGGTGAGTTGATTGTCGGGGCAATATAAACAGTATGATGAATATAATGATTCAGGGAAATACATTGCGTGCTTTACAAGTTTTCTTTTTCAACAGTCAGATAATATGTGCAAAAGCGATTGCTGTAACACAAATAATACATCTGATTTTCTTATCAAAGGATACCCGTGGACACTCAGGATCCAATTTGTATGATAGAAATGCACTCCTGCATGGCGGTATTTAAGTGTCAAACCTAAAAAAAAATCAAGATCATAATAGTAGCTGGGTACCCGCTCGATGGACGGACTCAAAAGAATCGATCGTCAAGTCATTTTCACGCAAGAGAAAAACCTGTAAATGATCAGTTGAAAGAGGGATGTAGGTACCACCTGAAAGAGAAATTTGGATATAACCTGGAAGAGTAATTTACTAAGAAATGTGCTGCGCCAGCAGTCACACCTTCAAAGAGTATTGCCAGAGACAGAGAAAGTGCAGGAAAAGGATCGAGATCATCTTTTCTATTTTGGCAATACATACCCTTAGCTTCTACTTCAGATTTCATTGCATGACAAGGCTGGCTTTGAAAACCCCCCCCCCCCCCCCTGTATAAGATTGCCGATACCGTACTGCATACAGCTGTGCCTGGGCCTAACAGTTCCTGTTCTTGTTGTGTTTTCATTTTTATTATTGGGTATTTTTAAGTAAAGGGCACTGGGAAACTGTAAATTGACATTGGTGTAGTTAAAAGCATAGAAAATTTCATGAAATCAATTAAATTACCCCCATTCAGACAGGGACATAAACAAGAAGGGGAGAGAAACGAAGGAGTGGGAGTTAAAAATTGGGAGGACCTGCCAGTGGCGACCACATCCATGGTGTAAAAAAGTGGAAGGGGGATAATTTTAACAACATAACGTTTAGACAAATTAAAGAGATTGCATATTACCCACCACCAAACAATGAAATGAATTTTATAGAAAACAAGTCCAACACGTGAAATAAAGGTAGAGACAATTAAAATTGACGCAATGGATACAGATGCCTGTAGCGTAATACTTACAGCTTGTGAATGTTTCATTTAGCAATGCATTTAAAGTTTGCTACTTTTATTCTTAGACTCATTGTTGTCTCAATAATCAACGTATTCAAAGTCCTTACCATCATTTTACAAACCATTGATGTCGCATTTATCATCGCATGTATTGTCTGATGGCGTTATTACACACTGCTATTGGCTCTGCGTTTTAAAATTGGAATCATTAAAATTCAACCCACGGATCAGATTCGGCACGCCAGGTCAGTTTGTCTAGCCACCATGCCAACATGCGAGGGAAAAAAACTTGGAAGATGTGTTTGCAGCGTTCTCGGAACTTGGTCACCAAAATAAATCATTGTGCAAGTGGAGCGTGCCTTTGGAGATTTCATAACTTCTAGCTAATATATCTGCCTCCTGCTACGTTTTAATTGGAAACATCTTATCAAACATAATAGATGTCCAACCTGTGCTCGGCATTCTTTCAGTTATCTGGTCCACTTTGAAATAATATGTTTGGTGAATCTTTTCGGATGCAACGGCCATATGATAATACAGGGCGATCCAAACAAAAACAAAATTGTACAATTTTTTTGTTAATACTTTCCTCTACACTGAAGTTTTGCATTTCAAATTTGTACGCAACACTTGGAAGTCAAAAGGAATTTGTATGATATTCATTTTAGATAACACCACAGAATAGTTTTGCTCTACATAGCGCGTAAAAAACAACAAATTTTCAGCTATGTCTCCATTTTTGTAGCATAACGCACTTGTTCGCATTAGGCATACTCGTACCGGCAAAAATCGGAACGATTGCCCCATATTACAAACTACTGGTAGTCTAACTGTCCAATAGAAGTTTGGAGATAGTTTTTCTCAAGTTTCCTTTGCCCGCTGAGATGATGGTTAAGATAAGTAAAGAGAAGAGACCGTTTTGTATTGAACGTTTCCTCACCACCAACTCATTTTGTAAGTTTCGCACAAGGTACGGAAATAATGTTAAAGTGCACCGAAGGTCCTGTAGAGAATCAGGACTAAAAATTCCCTGACAAAACGTCCACTTCAAGTCAACTCAAGGGCTCGCATTCTCACAGCAGATGTTCACGTTAGCGAAGTTCTCAGATGATAGCAATGTGTTCATGATCCCTCGATCATCTTGAAAAGCGTGAACATTTCCTCTATGACATTTGGTTCCTTGGCAAAGTCCATAATCACCTTTCGTTATATCAACTCAACAAATGCTGTCTATTTGGGCAACCTCACCCCCACCCCTCCCCGTTTTTGCCTCTAGAAACAGCTCCATACTGTAAGGTGTACACTGTGTGTGGCTTTGTGTACTCATGATTGAGTGGATCATTGTGTTTGGTCACCGCTGAACATTACGAACCTGCGTCAAAATGTTTCGAGTCCAAAGGAGGACATACAGACCTTTGGTTCTCGGAATTCCGAAATTAATTTTTTTTAAACTCAGTAGGAAAAAAATATTGTTTAAAGGTAACAGGGATGGAAAGATTAAATTTGAAAAAGAAAAGAAAAGGAAAAAATAAGCCAATCATTTGTTGACGTTCCTTACTAGATTTTTTTAATTGGAGCATTTTGCATATATAGGTGGTTTATATAAAAGCCATTTTTGTTTTCGAAAATTGGTTTCTTCGTTGTGGATTTTATGGCAAACAAATTCCTTTTGCGTGAATTATATCTGTTCCAAATAACAACATTCTAGTACACATTTTGCGCGAGCTATTTAGAAAAAAAGTTGGACAGTTGTTGTTTTTTTATCACCCTGTATGTCTGATCAGCAGAAAGAAGTAAATATTACAGCACATTTCAAACGCAGCATACACAAATCAGAAATACAAAATTGTAAATTAGTATTCTGTTCTCTGTATTTTTAAATTTCAGGTTAAGAAAAGATAACCAAAATAGCTGCATAAATAACAAAGTTATGCATATGTTTAAAGTGCCTTAAAGCAATACGCCTTGAAGTGCTATCGAATGGCCAGAATGCGTGTGAGTTAAAACATCATTTTTTGACAGCATAGTAAGAGTGAAAAGTGCAACCTGCACAAATGTAAAAAAAAGATTGCAGGTCAAAAACTTAAGGTCATGTTTCTAAAAAATCTTCTCACATTTAGCTTTGTTATACTAAAGGAATCAAAAACTTAAAATATTTATTTTTGTAAATATTACTGTACCAGTAGTTCTTTATAACCAGCGAGAAGCCCACTTTGAGATCAAACTTAAAATTAAAATCTATAAACGCCAATTGTTTTCAGAGTTGAAATCATCCTTATTATGCTTTAACGTGGACATCTGTTAATTTTAATTCGAACAGCAAATAACACACACGCAAGCACACATACACACACATAAAAACATATACAAATAAAATAGAAACATATATGTATACATATGTTTTATTTCAATTATCATAAAAAAACAGTGCTATGTAACTTAATGCGTACAGCTTACGTGTTGACAGTAAAATTATGTGGCGTGCATCGTTGCGTGTATGATTAGCTTTACAACTTTATGTTGATATGCACAGAACTCTCCACTGGAGAATAAAATTGAACAAAAATGCGGACAAAATGTCAAATAATTGTTTGTAGGAGAGCAAATAAAAGCGACATACGACAGGTTTGTGTTGGTATTATAATGTGTGAGTCCAGATATTTTTTTGTGAAGATTATAGTGACTATAGACAATTTTTAATTTTTAGAACTTAAACAACAGCACAATAATAAAGACACGTATAAAAAATAATATACAGTTGTGTCCAAAGATTATAATTATATCAAAGATGATTTTTACATACTACAGAGACAAATATTGAACTAATTCTGAATTCAAGTGTTAAAACGGATCATACTGGCGTTTGTGCTGTTCGAAGTTAGGCTCTTCGTTGTCCCACGTAGAAGACCTGAGTTTGATTCCTGTGTTGGGAGCATTTTAATCGAGCGTCTCGGTCTTCCTGCTAAGACCACGTACCTCTCAGTCCGTGCTGGCACTGATAGCCAAGGTTGAAGCCCGCATTCTAAATAATCTCAGTTTTTTAGACGGGGAAGGAGGGGGGAGGGGCGCAAAACACCTACAAGAAACGTTTTAAGTAAATGAGAACCTGATTTTTGTATCAACTGGTAATGCAACGCACATGCTCGTACACATCTTTTTACAATGCAGCCAAAGACCTCTAAATGCCTGGCTGAGGGTTTGGTTCTGAAATCCCACAGTTCGGTACGTCCAACTTCGAAGACGGAAAGGATTGAATCGTTCTTAATATATTTCACTGTCAAAGTACTTGTTATTCTTTCCGAGTGAAAAGAATATCAGTTGATATCCGTTCATGAAAAAGACTAATTGTATACATCCCATGGATAGTGTAAAATAGCATGACTCAGATTGCTCCTCCCTCCCCCCTCCCCCCAGCCCCACTCTGTCTTAATGATTTTTAGCTTTTACGATTGAAAAAAAATATTGGTTGACATCCATTGAAGAAAGAGAATAAATATTGTACACATCCCATCAATGGTATGAAATGGAATGAACTAAACACTTCATGACCTTTGTTAAATGGGCTTCTAAAATGTAAGTGAAAGACTTCGTTCCGACTTCACACAATTTTCTCTACTCAAAACGTAGAGGAATGAAAAGACCCAATAAATCACCGATGATCACACCACACAGCGTCACAGTACTGAAAAAGATTGTCGCGTTGAAACAAGGCAGAGTCACATTCCAGTGAGTCACAGAACTGAAACGTTAAGCTAGTTCATATAGTCACGATATTTCCTCACTTAGCAAAGCAAAGTCACAACGGCATTGAGTCATGGTCTATAGAAACGTTTACCCAGCCTCTTAACTCTTAGTATACGATACGTTATTCCACCTTTGTACGCAGCCAATTTTGTCATCCAATTTTTCAGCTCCGTAAACGTCTCTATAACTCTGCTCATATTTAAACTTTTTTTTCTCATAAAATTAACATGGGACTGAATAGAAATGTATAATCCATGCAATAAACTTTTAGTTTAGTTTCATTTTAGATTAGATATATTTTGCAGACGTTTTATAAACATTTTTGTTAAGATTGTAATCAACAATGGGATGCGGCACGCCAACTGAATTGGTTCGCCATAATATTATACTAAGAGTAAAAACAAAATAAGATTTCTACTTGGAATAAGGCGGAGCCCATCAATATGATCGATTGAAGGCATACAGTGCAAACGGTTTTCTAAACATTTCAACAATGATTTGCCATTAATCAATCGATATTGCGCGTGCGGAGAAGAGAACCATTAACTTGTCTTGTCAGAATATTATTGAACGTTGCTTGGGCAGAAGCAGTAACGGATAGAAGGCACGTCACATCACTTCATGCACGTCAATAAAATATCAGGAAATAGAGTCTTTCCTACCAGCGTCTGTTGTGTAGTGGTTACGCAGTCGCATGCTGAGGTGACCTAAGTTCGATTCTAGTTTGGGAGGAATTTTTATTGATCTAAATTAGGTCGATTGGGGCGTAAAAGCACCTTAATAGAAAACTATGTCATCGTTCTTCAACGCTATACAACCATTGACGCTACTCTTGCTTCTAGTCTAGGTAGGTGAGGCTTTCAAAACCTTTGATCATTATTATTAAGGGAGACACAGAGACAGAGAGACACAGAGAGAGAGGGAGGGAGAGAGAGAGAGAGAGAGAGTGACAAGCAGTCAGACAGACAGACAGACAGACAGACAGACAGACAGACAGACAGGCAGACAGGGGAGGGGCAAACCAATGAAGTAGCTAAAAAAACCACAAAGAGAGGCTGATGAAGACAGATACCAGTAGAGTGACACATCGAGAGATAGAGAGATAAAAGTAGAGATCACCAGGAGGCACACACTGACAGTGAAGTGAATGAATGGAGAGAAGGTCTCGCCATGTCATATAAAACAGATAGATAGACAGATAGATAAATATACATATAGATCTAGATATATAGATAGATAGATAGTTGGCAGAGTTTTTAATGCACTGGCATCACTGTGAGGATTATAATTATTAAAGGTAGTGTCACTCCCGAGGACATGCTTCAACGATTTGGTCGTGAAAATAAATGATCAAAGAAATCCAGTCATAGAGGTATAGTTTCACCATACAAACTAGTCCCTATAGTCAACATTTCAAAAGCTATAATTATGAAACACATGATGCCTTTATGTCATTGATTTGAATTATAATATCCTAGATGGTGCACCGCCATGACCACCTCTATTTGCTCTCTGAAGTCTTCGATGTGAAGCTTGTCTATCATGGGCACGTCGGCACCAATCCCGTCTGGACCTCCATTTAACTCCAAACTAAGACAATAAATGGTACGCTTTACACAAAATCGGACTAACGTCTGGGTGCTTGGTCTAGGATAATATAATACAAGTCTGTGGGTTTATGCAAGAGTGATTGGGGTTAGTGTGCAGAAAAACAGCATATACATACAATAGTAAGCCCAGCAACATCCAGGTCACTCAATCGCTGACACGGAGTCAGATTTCGACGTTCATCGGTTAGTTGTGTGTGCTAGAGAGAGGTTATCAACATAGCTGCTCTGTTACCTTGGTCCGGACTGCCTGCCTGGACCCGGACATCCGTGACCGGGGTTTGAGTCTGGACTTCCCGTAAACCTGATTCGGTTTCCCCTTCCACTGTGACTTCTGGGTCAAGGTCAAATTCTTCCTCGCCCAAGGTCGATTCATGGGCTGTTGTGTTGAGAGCGCTCGTTGAGCCTAGCAATAGGTGTTGACGATGTTGTCAGAAATTTTATTGTCTTGGTAGTGTACTTGAATTGCGTCGATTAACTTGTGGTTAGGCTACCAGACCCGTAATTGTGAGGTTAAGGGCTCGGAGGTTCGAGGCTCGGAGGTTCGAGGCTCGGAGGTTAAGGGCTCGGAGGTTCGAGGCTCTGAAGGGTCCAACAGTAAGGCCCGTTACAGGCATTTTGCCATCTGGCTCGGTCCAATCGGATGTGGACGTTGAATTCGGAAGCCCTGCCTCTGAAATAACCTAACAGTGTTGCAAGGTGCGTTAAACTGATATTTTTTCGCAGTTTTTCAAAGTCTATTACCTCAATCCTCAGCGCGGGGTGATAATGTCAGGACAATTGATCGCTTTTAAGCACAAGGGGGCTATCCCGAAAAATGCTGTTTTGAGAAAATTGAAGGTAAAGTTTTTGCCCCTTGTTCAGACAAGGAGAGTTTCCTTTATAACCAAACAAATGTACACACCAATGAAATCTAACTAATGAAAAGGCCCACTTTTGGGGTAGGTCAACATTTCTGGAAAGCCCTGAAATCTGGGTTAGCCCGCTTGTCCTTAAAAGAGACCAATTTAGTCCACTACAAACTAGAAGGAGGACCAACATTTCCTGCGGTAGGATGGCATCATGGAGATTGTTGCACTGCCGTACATGACGTGATGTTTACTTCAGTCTGTGTTTGTCTCACTTTCTTTTGTTATGTATTTTCCTATACACTTGGTTGGATTTAGGGTAAGCTCTGTGGTGAACAGTTACGACAGGAAGGTAAGGAAAGAGTTATGAGAGGAATATCGAGTTGTAGAGGCCTTTATTAACACTGATTGCAAAGTATAATATATCTCTTATCTTCTCTCTCTCTCTCTCTCTCTCTCTCTCTCTCTCTCTCTCTCTCTCTCTCTCTCTCTCTCTCTCTTTCTCTCTTTCATCAATACACACACCCCACACTATCTTACTCTCAAATACAGAACCTTTAGACGACATCTATTTCTAAACTATAAAAGCCAAAACACTAAGAAAGCTACACTACAAAGCAAGGAAAAAAATGATTTGAATTCAGACTTAATTTCCATGGGGTTCTTTGACAAAATAATTCGAAAGATTGAAAAACACGAATCTAAATGAATAATTTCAGTCTAGTTTACAAAGCTCAAAACAAAATAATTGAAAATAGACACAACGGGTTTTACAATAATCTAGGATAGGAAAGAAAATGTTATGACAAATGGTTCATTACTTCATGAGATGAGCAAAAGTGATGAACTTAACTAGATCTCTTTCAAAGCGTTTCAGGGAAAGATAGTTGAACAAAAGCAGAGGTAGGAAAATATTTGAAAAATGCAGAAGGAAATCATCAAGCAATGACAACAATGATTTTAAAAATAAGGTTGAAATTAAACCTACCTGCTAACCCTTCCTCTCTTAGGCGGTCAAACAAGGTGCTGGGGTCGTAGCCGGTAGAGCCAGGAGACATGGCCCGGATAATCCCGCCCTCCTTCCCTCCTGTAGCGTCATCTTTGTTCTTTGTGATCACAGGTCGGGGCTTGCGTCGGCTGGGTAGATCGTCATTCAGAATAGAGAAGGCGATTTTACTCATTGTTCTTTTTATGTCAAAGTTTATGAATCAACACGCAACTCAACACGATCAGAAGGTCCCAAGTTAACAGGTATTGTTTAGACCAAGAACTCAGAGAACGCTCTAAACTATCCACAAAAAAGTACTCCAAGCAGGCAAACGCTCGTAATATAATGCTCTTCCCAGTGTCTTGTTAGCACACGTAGAGAACGCCAGTGATGTTATGATAACTGATAATGCTTCTTTCTAATAAAGCGATCACTCAAAAGTCACCAGTAGAGATTCCTGTTTCAGATTGTGAAAAGGCTGACTTTATACCCATCAATCCTTCATAGTTTTAGTTCACGCAAACGTAGGCATTATCTCTGTGGCTTTCTAGATGCCCCAAATAATGAACGGTAGGTAGATCTGATTCTGACCAGCGACTGCGCGCAAGTGTGAAAGCTGAGAGTGGCAACTGATCAGAGTAACTACAGATGTGTGAATTATACATGGATAACCCAGGAGGGCTAGCGTGCCGCAGGGGAAGATGCCCAATAAAGACGTAGGGAGCAATTGTTAGAGTGAAAAAAAGAGAAAAGGAAAGCCTCATCAGTGTTTTATTCATAGACCAAACGGTGATTACAGGATTTTACTTCACATTGTACACACCGTGCTATTGTTGTAGATGTTTTTGGTGGTGTTAGTGTTGTTGATGCTGCTGTTAAAGATGCTATTGTTGTTGTTGTTATTATTATTGTTGTTATTGTTGTTGTGTTATTGTTCTTGCTGTTGTTGTTGTTGGAAGGTCCCCAAGCAAGACGTATGGCGCAATCGTAAGAATGAACAAAGGGTAAAAGGAAAGTCTCATCAGGGTTTTACTTCAAGACCAATCACTTTACTGAATGTTCTTTGTCTTTGTAATTGTTCTACATCAATATTGTGATGAAAGTAACTCCAACCCTGAATCACGGGCCGGTTTTAGACGTAATTATTCGATAAAAGGTCAATTAGATTTTGAATAGGCAAAAACCGTTTGCAACATAAAGTTTACTGCAATGCTACTATATGGCTCTGAATTTTGAGGTACCAAGAATTAGAAAGCCCAACGGAAACATCCCAAGACAGTCGCTGTAATGGAACCCACAGGGAGCACGAGGCGGGTGTAGGCCGCGGGAAACATGGAGGAGATATGAGTAAAGGGACATTAGAGAGATGAAGCTCACTTGGAACGAACTTGGCAGGATGACCCAGGACTGAGATAAATGGAGGGAGCTTGTATATGGCCTATACCCTGCCAGGGGTGAAAGGCATTGATGATGATGATGACGAATTAGGACGGGATTGACAATGTTTTAGTAACATTTTGAAAAGCATATCTGGGACTTGGCAAAGTTACACCACCGTGTTTAGTTCTAATAGAGGTGGGAAGAACTGAATTATGTTTGAATTATACGCCTTGTGTCCTTAAATTCTGGTGCAGCTTTATAAACTTAAAAATGTATGCATTTCCAAAAAAATGTTACATACAATCAAATAACTCTTGTGAATTAGGCAGAGTCAACTGAGCTACTGAAGTAAAGTACATATTATTTTCCCTTGGATATGCCTGGTTTTCTTTCAATGTTGGAAGCACTAATGTTACTCAGAAGAAATAAAAAGTAGGCCTGTTGATCATTGAGTGCAGAACAGAAAGGAGGAAGTCTGTCGCAAGAAAAAACATTTTCTTGCAATTTCCTTTTCAAGATTTTGCAGAGTATCATCCCGCAAATATTCCAACCAAACTCGTAGCCTGTAATTGAAAGATAATCTGCCTTACGAGTGGAAATGTATAAATACATCTATTAGTGAGAGGTGTAACTCACATGAAATTTGAACATAAATTTCATTTGATCTTTTGTTTTTCCAGCTTTGCCAATAACAGGAAATGGTTCATTACCCCCTTGTTTTCTCGCCCGGAGATAAATATGTATAATAAATTTTAACCCATGAGTAAAGATATATGTACAACTTATCAGGGGCGAAGGCTGACTTGTTTGACAGGGTAGGCCGCGGGAAACATGGAGGAGATATGAAACGGGACCAGATATAGATCTATATGGAAACATGGAGGAGATATGAAACGGGACCAGATATAGATCTATATGGAAACATGGAGGAGATATGAAACGGGACCAGATATAGATCTATATATGGCCTGTAGATATCACACAAGAATCTTACTCGAGGCGGCGACTCTGACTGAGTTTTAAATGAAAACA